CGGTCAGAAGTTCAAACAGTTTTAGTCGGCTTATAATAATTCTTCAAAATGAATGATCTATTCAATTCTAATTTATGATATTTACTTAGACTACATAAACATGTGACATGTATGAGATTTCATTATACTCTTGGATGGTCATAAGATCAATCTAATTATAGATATCTTGTGCTATAATGTTTCGAAACTAACATATACAGTGTTGCTATATATCAGATGAAATACTGTCAAGTAATAGATTCCATTATACTCTTGGATGGTCATAAGATCAATCTAATTATAGATATCTTGTGCTATAATGTTTCGAAACTAACATATACAGTGTTGCTATATATCATATGAAATACTGTCAAGTAATAGATTCCATTATACTCTTGGATGGTCATAAGATCAATCTAATTATAGATATCTTGTGCTATAATGTTTCGAAACTAACATATACAGTGTTGCTATATATCAGATGAAATACTGTCAAGTAATAGAACGTGTCGTTGACATAATGGGACTGATGAACAAAGGTCAGAATTATCTTTCTTTTACGTTTTGTAGATAGATAATCAAATATATAAAAATCATTAGTTATAAATCAGTGTTCTGTGACTTTTTGTATGAAACTCACTTCTCATCATATACTATATTTATTACATGTAAGTAAAGTCTCAGACTTATTGAAACATTTGTTAACAAAAGTTCAAGATACACTAATATACTATTCATGAAAACATCATATTTTATAAAATACTGACCTATACACACCATGAATATTAGTTTGTAACAACTAATTCAAACCTCCATTTATATTTGATATAGAAAACTCATGTTTCATCATAACCTGATTTAACAAGTATATTGAAACCTTTATTAAAGAAACTTCAAGATATACTAATATGATATTTACGAAAACATCTTAGTTTATAAAATACTGACTTACAGACAAATGTAACACTACCTGTGGTATATACTTGCTCTAGCATGTTATTAGTCAAATAGAATAAGTCACCAAAAATTACACATAATGTGCATTCTCCAAAGTTATCAAAGTTTCTTTATTTTAGAAACTATACAAAACATATCATGCACTTGAAATCCGTAACTAAACTGACTGTCCTTTATCATGCTGAACATTAGATCTTGACCCTCACATTGACGTTCCCCTACAGCTTAAAACTGACGTGTTTCACGACATCCTAATATGCTATCTTCAATAAACTTAAGTAAAGACTTGTAAAGAATCACAAGTACTGAAACATTTGGGATTATTTAAATGTTCCATCATATGACTGCGTAAATACAACAAATCTCTATAAACAAAATAAGTAGGACACTCACTATAATGATGTGTCACATCCACAGGTAAATACATTAATAAATAATGTAACATTAATGACTGATATAGTGTTTTGACCGATACTTAGTAGGTCTCGTCCGGCATCTGTGTTATATGTTCCGAGGTAACTTAATAAAGTCGTCGTACATTTAGTATAGATTGAATGTAAGCTTTGTGTAGGTCTGTATGATGGGTAAACTCCGATTATCTCGGTGTTTGTCTGCAATTTTTATCTGGCATGAGACTTCGAGACCGTCGTCAAACACCGCCAGAAATAACACTGCAGTGACAATAGGTTCAACATTGTAGACCTATTTACTGTCAAAAGAGTGATATTTATCGATGATCACAAGACTACTTGAAAAGTGTATAACATTCTTTCATCTCCGAACTTAGGGAACTCTAACTTAAGGAGAATTGTGTGATAATGTGTTATGACTTTAATTTATTCATGTTACTACGGTGAACTTTATTAAATTTTCAAAAATCTTATATCGACTTTGTTGATATACAAGATGCAAAAGCTCTATTATAACTCTAAGAATAATACTAACCTAATTATAATTAGCATGGTCTTTGAACGATGATCTATAGAAACATAACTAATCATGTTGGTGAATGGGTTTTTTTTCTGTGAATTTTATACGAACGTTCTTTCTAAACTGATTTAATGAAATGATAGATATGTCTATTCTTGTAGAACATACCTTTCGTCGTGAGATCCCAAAACTTAGAAGTATATCACAATATTGAAAAATGTCCACTTTAATATTCATGGTACTTATTGTTCCAATGACAGAGTGATGTAACAAAGTATTGAACACATTCTCTGTTCTTGATATCGTAATAGAGTCACAGTCATTGTTCTGTGTCATTATATATGAGGTGAAGTATATCAATATGTACAATAATGTGATCATCATATTCGTACAAGTCATTTTGGTGAGTGTTCTATTTGTTTTATTTACACAGTCAAATGATTGAACATTTAAATATTCCCCAATTAATACTTCACTGGACCATTGGTATTATACAAGATAAACATCATATATTTCAAATAAGGATTCGTACTGAAGATAGTGAAGATAAAGGCTATTCTTCGTCTGAAGAAAACGATTTTGTTTAAACACATAAAATTTAAAGATCCTTTTCCGGACCATCACATCCTGAGGACGAGAAAGTTATGACTACACATATCATTAGAAAGTGATATCCATGAAATGTAATTAATCAGAAAAGATTAAACCAGATATACATAAGTCAGTATTTTATAGACTAAGAGTATATTAGTATACCTTGAAGTTTTGTAAACAAATGTTTCACTATGTATTATATTTAAGACTGAAATTTTACTTACATATACTAAAGTAGCAAGTATATTAGGCTATGATTAAAACTGATTTATATATAAGAAAATCACAGAGCATAATTGTATAATTTTTAAGTGAAAAAATATGTTATGTTACTGTAAAAATTTCAAAATATATGTTATGTTACTGTAACAATTTCAAAATATATGTTATGTTACTGTAACAATTTCAAAATATACGTGTGGAAATATCTGCTCTGAAAGAGTCGATAAACTAGATTTTTTTAGCGTACTAACTAAAATCTTTCATGATTAGTTTGAGTTGAATCATTTATTCATGTGTGTAGTGACATGTCTTCAGTACGATGTCTCATGTTAATTCAGTTTGTTTTCACATATTTGACAGTCAATTTAGTTACAGATTTCAAGTGCATGATATGTTTTGTATAGTTTCTAAAATAAAGAAGCTTTGATAACTTTGGAGAATGCACATTACGTGTCATTTATGGTGATTTATTCTATTTGACTAATAACATGCTAGAGCAAGTATATACCACAGGTAGTGTTACATTTGTCTGTAAGTCAGTATTTTATAAAATATGATGTTTTCATAAATAGCATATTAATACATCTTGAAGTTTTGTTAGCAAATGTTTCAATAAGTGTGATACCTAAGTCTCAGGCTTTACTTACATATAATAAATATAGTATATTAGTATATGATAAGAAGTGAGTTTCATATAAGAAGATTACAGAACACTGATTTGTAACTGATGATTTTTGTATATTTGATTATCTTTCTATAAATTGTAAATGAAAGGTAATTCATGTTATGGTAACAATTTCAAAATCAACGTGAGGAAATATCTGTTTTGAAACGGTCGAAGAATAATCACTTGATTTATAACTAAAGGTTCTTTTACGATTATGATTGTCAACTCTTTTTCTGTATTGTTCATTTGTGAAAATGTATTTGATGCTTTGTTAAAGTAATAAGTTCAAATAGTATAGTATACACAAAGTTAAGTTTTTGCACTGATTTTTAGGTGAACAATATACTATATGTTACCATAACATTGTTTTAAAAATTTATGTCAGTTTTGAAAAATTACGTTTTCTGAGTCTGAAACATAAATGAAAAAACATAACATTTGATTGGAAGCTTGTCAATATTTAAATACAAATTAGACTGTTTGTTGTAAATTGATGTGTCTGAACTTCTGAACGAGTTTATCAACACCACTTGGAAACCATTCGCATATGTAATTCGTTGTATTGTATAACCAAATATTAAATATCATGCCTTTCACATGTCTGTAAAGTTGATGTAGTTTTTAAGTTTAAGTAAATATCATAAATATTAAAAGTAGAACTGAATCGATCATAGTTAAGCTGACTGACCCTGTCTGAACTTTTGACAAGAGTTTATGAAACGTTTTTTGTTGTAAAGTTCGGATGAAATACTGTATCATTTATAAACTAAGTTCATTCGTGTTATTGATTACCTAATAAGTTTAATTGTTATAGTATAAAAGAATTTCTGATTTTTAAACAAATATATACATTATACATTATTGGCTGGTAATTCCTGTTTCATCTTTATAAAGGAACACCAAATTTCTGTAATGAAGCTAACATCAAGGGGTAATGATAACATCGTTTAACTAGAATTGTGTTAATAATACTTATAAGAGCGGATACTCCATTTGAAATTATGTCATCTCAGTGAAATTGGTTGACACCATTGTTTTGGTTTTTGAGTTATTATGTAAAAAGAAAAAAAAAGAAGCAGAAGAAAGAAGAACAAGAAATTAAAATTTTTTTGCTATGATATTTACAGACATTCCCAGAACTTGTGACTCAGTCATTACATAGATATTGTTATAATAGGAAACACTGTTTAGTATTGTAAATTTCTGATGACCTGTTGAGGAGATATTTAAAATACCATTTTGATGAACAATCTGACCCATCCCTACTATAGGCAGTGTGCTGCCGCCTGCCTGTTAATACTATTAAATCTCATGATTTAAAAAACAAACGTAAGATGGCGCTGAATGAGTAAAGAAACTCAACATTATTTCTTGTGGAACGGAAAAAACAGACCAACCCTGGTTGGCGCGTGTCACTGTGACAAGCGAAAAGGCTCGTGCTGGGCGCGTGCCGTAATGACATTGAAATATTTGACGGTATCGCCTATTTCGGCAGCACAGGACTTGGCATGTGGCCAACATATATTTTTTTATGATAGCGTTTTATAAATTTCAAACCATGGCCACTTTTAAGAAAAATCACAGAAACAAAGTTGTTAGACATAAAACTTATTTATTTTTCTTCTTAGTATACATTATTTTTTATGATACAAACAACATGTAACTGTCAATGGTTTTGGATGTTTCAATTTTATGTCTTAGATACTTTTTCGTAGACTTGAAAGGCTCATGAGGGTAGATTTCAACTATTGCTGTAACTGACTCGACATCCTTGGCTTCTTGCGTGCACGCGGGATGGAGTCTGATCCCCTGAAGCAATGTCATGTTGTTTGTTACAATGCTGCCAGGGCCACGCGTCCCGCACACGAAATTTGCAGAATGAGCGAATACAGTGTACAATGGCAGCTGCTTGGAGGAGGGGCCTAGTATTCATGAGGCTAAGGTTTTTTAACGGGAAGAGCCCTGTGGACGACACACTTCTCCGAAGTAGTGCGGTAGGACATTTCACTACGTCCTAATATTCGACTAAGGTAATTTGGCTTCGACTCACGTGAGGTGATACACCAGCATCCACGAGAGTGGCACGTGTTTCCCTGACAGGATAGGTATATTAAAAAGACGTTAAGCTATAGGCAATAAGCATACTGTGTTTAAATTCATTTGTTGTTTATAAAATTGTGGAAGTTTCGATTTCGGAAACATCGAGTATGCGACATGAAAACGCAGCTGATTATCTAGGCTGTACAAGGAGAAATCCATGTGGACCAGTAGGATACGTTCTGCAACCTTGTCGACCGGCAGCTGTTGCTAGAAGGAACGAGCGCGAGAGAAACCGTGTGCGGCTCGTGAACATGGGTTTCGCAACGCTTCGACAGCACGTGCCGAATGGTACGAAAAACAGGAAGATGAGCAAAGTAGAAACATTACGATCTGCCGTGGAGTATATAAAACAACTACAAGAGCTCCTAACTGATCAGGACGGTAGCAGTCATTATGAAGAGACTTTTCTTACGACAAAAACTCATGTTGATCCTATTTCCTCTGCTGTGACCCGCAGCCTGTACCAGAGTTACTGTACTGCCTCACCACCCCCGAGCTTTGAACCAGAAGGCTTGACACCCTCCGGACCACAGCAAGAATCTTTCAATGTCAACTTTCAGCTATCTCCAAATGGGAGCACTGGCTACGAAACCCCATCCTCGCCAGGTAGCACCACTAACGACATTTCCTCGGCTATTTCTAGTGCCAGAGACCACCTCTGTTACTCTACAACTCCGGAAAGGGGTTTTTCAGAAGGATCTCAACCAGGCTCAGAAGAAAGTGACTTATTAAACTTCGCCAGTTGGTTTGTTTGAAACCCTCAATGAGTTAGGTAAGAGACACATTTATATTTACATTTTGAATAACGAGCGTTTCTATTAATTTGTTTAGAATGTGTCGCTATAGCTCTCTTATCTTATTGTGTTGTATGTTTTACTCTGTTATTATTAATTAAATTATCGCTGTTGATCTTGGCTCAACCTACTTCGGGTGCAACTTAGTTTGTAGCACAGGATACTGTTAGCAAATTATTTTCCCATTTAGTTAACCTCGCTATGCAATTATCTCCATTGCTACTGTAATTAAAAAAATAAACATCATGAAACTTGTTATATTTGAATTAAAAACAAACTCAAAGCGAATGCTACAGTAAAATAAATTTGTGTGATGTTTTGTCTTTTTTTATCTATTGCTAATGATAGAGAGAGAAAAAAAATCGTCTTGTTTCCTTCACTTTAGATAACTAACTTCGATTTTCACACAATCGCATGTTGTCATTAATATGAAGAAAACAATTAGCGATGGTGAAGTAAAACGGACTCAAAACCCATAGAAATTAGCGATTTTGCTTCAATATAATAGCAGCAAGACAATATTATCCTCAAAGTAAAATTCTCTTTGTTGTTTTACCTTCGTAATTCATTATTTTATTTTTAAGTTTCATGATTTGTTTTCTGTGTGTCAATTAAAATTGATAAAAGTTTTCTAGGCAGATGATCAAATAATTTAATTAACTACACCTGTTAATAAGCATAAAGTCTAACACTGTGCGAAATATTCTGGCTATAAACGTTATTTCGAATGGTATACAATACAAAGATAGTTAAAGTTTGATTGTTAGGCCTAACGACAGTCTTCATTTTTCTATCTGCTAATATTCTTATTTCTGCATTTCAGATAATCAACTTTCCGTCTTATATAACAGTGAAATGGTTGTCCTACTACAGTACTTGATCGTTTTGGAACAACTTGGCGTCCGCAATGTGATAAACTGAGTTAACTGACTCATATTGGAAGATATTTACGCGAGAGTTGGACCTTTTGTTTCTAGCCAGTACTGATGGTTGTGTTAGACATCCATTGTATTTCTTGTTGTTAATGTCGATTTGCAATGTATAGTTTTTGTCGTCTGAAAACTCTTGTTGGATTGAACACGAAAATCCATCTTTTACTTGCTGTAAATGTTTAAATTTCAAACCGTATCAGAACTTGGTAAATATTTATATATATATATGACATGTTTTGATAAAATAAGAATAAATGATTTTATTATTTTTTCAAAACTTTAGGTAATATTATAATTGAAGAAAGAATTACTGACTTTACTTTGAATTTCTTTTTTTTTACAATACTTGCCCAGCAGTGAGAGGATCTTTACGATTTGTTATTTTTATATGTGGTTGTTATGAGCACAACTGTTACTATAACAACCAACGGAAACAGAAAGCCAGTACAGTCAGTTTAAAATTGTGTTTTTTATTTTTCTAGTATTTCTATGTGTAGTGTTTGATAACAAAGAAAAATGATAGAACTGTGTTTCTCCTTTGTGATACTCTTTTAAAGTGCTAAAACTTATATAACATTTTACAGACATGTTAGTGCAACTAATTTGTAATACTTGCTTTTGAAATGAAGCATAATTCTGATGTTTTCAGAGATTTCCGGGGCTGGTATTTTTTGTAAAATAGGTTTGTTATGGGTAAAAGGCTGTAAATATATTTGAAATAAATGCATTTTTGTTTTTCTATAATTTCTATGTGTTCGGTTGCTGTTTTTCCGTTTATAAGCAAGTGATACTTGATTATATGAATGGGTGTACTTGTATAGTTTTCTTCCCGTTTATAAGCAAGTGATACTTGATTATATGAATGGGTGTACTTGTATAGTTTTCTTCCCGTTTATAAGCA